ACGCACTTTGTGTATGTTTTTTGTAGAGGTCTTTCAACATTGATGACACAAGAAAAGATTATTGTCTTGGATTGGCCGGCAAAATACTAAGAGGGTTTAGAACATATTTAAACAGAAAATATCTTAGAGATGCCAAAATTTTTTTTGTTGATGCAGAGCGTCCAACAGAATATGCAGATGTGATTTCAGTTAAAGAATGAGATGTTTTTAAAGCCAAACGGAAAACCCAAAATTTCAGAGTATAAGTGACGTAAATCGTCAAAAAGCATCATCTCCCGCATATCCATACAAAAAAGGGCGTTTGGGATATGCACGATTAGAACAAAAAATAGTAAGTATTTACAAATTGCAATGATATACTTGTTCATCAAGAGTTATAACTGAGCTTGTTTTTTGTGTTAATGTGTAGTTAAAAGAGGAGAGTAGTTCTGAAACATCTCTTCCGGAGCATGTTTTGTGGAAGGCTGCCTGTGTGGGTAAGGATGGAGTTCTTAAAGAAGATGTACAACAAATTTTTGAAAAATGCGTAAGTATAACATTAATTCTAATTAAATCAAAATTTTATTAACATATAGTATTCATGTTTTTCCAATATTCATATGAATTTCAGGAGAGTCTGTCTCAGTCTACATCTCCACCAGATGATTGCAGGAGCATACTTAGTCGAGCATTAGATGTTCGTGAGTATTCTAGTCGGATGAGGGGTAAAGGACATGGGGTTACTCCAAGCTCCTTGAAAAAGAACAACCCAAAGACAAAATCTGCTAGCAATAAAGAACTGCAGGCAAGGTTGGATGCATTAGAAGCTGAGGTTCTTGAATTGAGGAAGGAAAAAGCAAGACAGTACCAATCAGAAAGGGAAGCTTCGGGTGTTAAAGAAACGAGTGACATAGCTAGTGTCAATTGTGCAGCTCGACCGAGTATTCCCGAGGTACTTACATATATTATTATGAAATTAAATTAGTGTAATTTATTTAACTGACATATATACACATTAACGATGTCATATTTATTATTGATTTTAGGGCATTTCACCTTGTCAACTCTTTTTAGAGACACCAACTTATCGTATGGTTGGCAAGGGTAAAGTCCATAACACTCTGGGAGAAGTACTTCATCATAAACTGCTCCCTTCTGGATATTTGAAAGTGTCGATTGATATTGCTTTAGAGGAGGGTGCGTTATTACCAATCCCAGATGAAGTTTCGGATGCAACATTGGTGGGAGAGGCAATATGAGCGTTTGTTGCATGGCCGTCAAGACTCGTTCGCATAGATGATGAGGTATGATTAAAACCGTTATGAACCTTTTAGTACTCAAATTTTTTACGTTCGTTTTACTTACATTTTTTTGCATGGTAATGTTAGACTCCTACTAAACCCAAACCAAAAGATAAAGGGATTACGCAGCCAAAGGAGTCAGTGACAGCAAAAAAAACAGGTACAACACAATTATATGATATTTATGCTTAGATAATGTTAATTTGTCGTCTTATACTTGACCACTCTAATTTTATGATATTTAGATTATTCCTGCTAAAGAGATTGAAGCTATAAGTAGGGGTAAGGAGTCTGTAATTAGCAACATTCTCACAGAAACAAAGAGTGTTGCTAAGAGGATCGGGGCTAGAAAGAAAACTACTTCACAATATAGGTCGTGCCTTCAGACATATATAAGCTTCACAACTATTTCGCAAGGTGGTACTTCTCTTATACCCCTGGATGAAGGGATTTATGGTTCTGAAGGCATGACAGCAATTGGTAAGGAGGATTTGGAAGAAGTTTTTGGACACTTGATATTAGGCATCGCTGTTATCAATACATACATCAGGTATACTCCAATCAACTTTGTTTAATTAATTGCAGAATTTATTTACTCATTTCAATGAATAATTAATGTTAATGATGTTTTTATTTAAGGTTTCTGTATGACAAGTTGATTCGCCTGCGTGGATTGGAGTCCAGATTCGCTTTCATAAATTCCAACGTTGTCCACGCAGGGTCAATCATCTCAAAACATTTGTGCTCAGTTTATTTATGGCCAACAAAGATACATAAAAATTATTCTTTTTACCATATAATACTGGCCCCAAGTAAGATTTTCATTCTAAATTTCCTCTATTATAATTTTTCGATTTTTAACGTTGTGCAGAAAATTTCCATCTAACATTTGTTTAATATTCCAGTGGACACTGGTTATTGGTTGCAATTAATCCTGGGAGAGAAATTATATATTATTTGGATTCATTGGGCAATGATTGGACAACATACCCAGATATGAAGAAGACGATTGACACGTAAGTGAGATTGTTCCAAAATATTACTGTGTATATTTAATTATTTATGTGCGAAAGTTCTAAATATTCGTTATTATTTTATTATAGCATTCTACAAAGTTTTCGAGCACAAAGAGATATTCAAGTACCAAGGAGTAGAGTCAACAATATTTCTTGGATCAAAGTGGAGGTATAGATTTTCACAATTTTGATTATATAGCGATGATACTTGATAAAACAAGTTAAGGTGTATATCTTGATGTATATCCGTATTTTCTTTCGACGTGTAGTGTCCTCGTCAGCGTAATGGTGTAGATTGCGGTTATTTTATGTTGAGGTTTATGAAAGAAACTATTCTTTTGGACCGATTAGAGATTCCATCCATGGTATGAATTTCTAACTTAGGAATTATTTTAATATTTCTCATAAAATGACTTAGTATTTTAATTAAATCATACTATGTTATATTATTATGTAGTACTTTGATGAATTCAAGTGTTCTTCATACTCAAAAGATCAATTGGATGAACTTATGGAGGATTGGTGCCAACTTGTTATGGAGTTGAGAGTTTTATTATAAGGTATAACTTTGAGTTTTGAGAATATAATATATGTCGTTATAGTTGTGTTACAATATTATTATTTTTGTTGTTGTTATTTGGTAACTTGTATGAATTTTGATTTTTTGATTTTGTTTTAGGTTATATAGGTGCGACTCGATGTAGAAGATAGAGTTATTTTGTAATTTATTGTTGATTTTGTTTCATTGTTGTATATACTAATGTTGTTGTTGTGTATATTATGCAAAAATGATTGAAGAGATGAATATTGATGTTGTTATAATATTGTTTCATTGTGGTATATTGATGTTGTTGTTGTTTAAAATGTTATAATGAAGCTATAAATTCTGGTGCAAAAATGGTGAGATTAAATTTGATAGGCAGCGTTTTGTTTTAAATGAAAAAAATTATATTTAAAAAAATAATAAGGAAAAGCGCTGCTAAAGGGGGGAATAGACAACGCTTTTAATGAGAAGCGCTGTCTAAAGTGTTAGAAAAAAAATTATATTAAAAAAATAATAAGAAAAAGCGCTGCTTAAGAGGGGGGGGGGGGGGGGGGGGGGGGAATAGACATCGCTTTTAATGAAAGCGTTGTCTAAAGTGATTGAAAAAAAAAATATTAAAAAATAATAAGGAAAAACGCTGCTAAAGAGGGGGAATAGACAGCGCTTTTACCAAGCGCTGTCTAAAGTTCCACATTAAAAGCGCTGTCTAAAGTGTAAGCGCTGCTAAAGGGGGTACCTATAGCAGCGCTTTTGAAATTACATAAGCGCTGTCTATACCTTTAGCAGCAGAGGTTTTAGCAGCGCTTTTAAGCGCGGTTAAAGGCCTAAAAAAGCGTTGTCTAATCTCTTGTTTGGCATAGTGGACTGAAGAAGGGCATGTAGAAGATTTGTTGAAATTGTTTCAGCGATTGAGGAAATATCGTCTCCGCTTGAATCCAAATAAATGCACCTTCGGTGTCTGATTAGGGAAATTGTTAGATTTCATTGTCAGCCAAAAAGGAATTGAAGTTGACCCTGATAAAGTCAAAGCAATTCAAGAAATTCCTGCACCAAGGACTGAAAAGCAAGTTAGAGGCTTCCTTGGGCGATTGAATTACATTTTCAGATTCATTTCTCATATGACTGCGACATGTAAACCGATCTTTATATTGTTAAATAAAGATCAAGGTTGTGTGTGGATAGATTATTGCCAAAGGGAATTTGAAAATATTAAAGCGTATCTTCTTGAACCTCTTATATTGCTCTCGCCTATTGAAGGATGACCATTGATCATGTATCTAACTGTGTTAGATAATTCTATGAGCTGTATTTTGGGACAAGTTGAAACAGGAAAGAAGAAATATGTCATTTATTATATGAAAAAGAAGCTTACTGATTGTGAGTCGCGGTATTTTATGCTAGAAAAGACATGTTGTGCTCTGGCCTGGACGGTAAAGCGGTTGCGGCAATATATGTTGAATCATACTACTTGGTTGATTTCCAAAATGTATCCAATTAAGTATATCTTTGAAAAATAAATTATCTGATTTTGTATCTAACAGTTCATAATGGCTGGTTGATTTTAATATGGTGTGTCCTTAGTGACCTCATGAACGGCGCCATTGGCTGAAGTGAGGTTTCACCTGTTCACATGTCTTTCCGTATAATACTTATTATTAAACCTTTCCACAAGGACGGCCGTTGGCTAGAGTATAGGTCCTTCTACTCCAAGGTCCATGTTTTAAGAATTTGGATACTCTCCTATTTTTATGGAGCAGCCACCCCCTCGTTTTTGTAATCTAATGGTTGCTACTTACATAAAAAAAATAATACTTCATGAGAGACAATTAAATAAAGTAAATGAATGGCCAAGATTAAAGCAGGACAGAAGCATGATAGATAGGATAGGAGAGGATCCTAATCCATGTTTCAACACTTATTAAGATCAAAATTTTGTTTTGCAAATGAGTTGTAATCTAAATTTTTTTTTACAAGAGGTAAAGCAGGGGAAAAGTTTTATTAACCCTTGAAAAACAAAGGTAGAAAATAACACTTGAGAATTAATGTAAAGTTTATTCTATTATAAATAGGACCACTTCCACTTCTCATAATAAGATAACCAAGCTCAACAACTGTAAACCTCGCTTATTGTTTTTATTTTAAAATCTTTTTCAAGCTATGATGAGTTATATTCGTAGTTTCCTTTTGTTACACCCTCAATCCTTTTGGCCTCTTTTCCTTGTTATGTTTTTATGCTTTATCACTATTAAAATGCTAAGATATCATTTGATGAGTGTGAAGTCTGTAATACCAAAATTGCCCCCAGGTCCTAAACCATGGCCTATAGTTGGTAACCTTCCTGAAATGCTTGCAAACAAATCTCCAACTAGGTGGATACACAAAATAATGGAAGAAATGAACACTGATATAGCATGTATCCGTCTAGGAAATGTCCATGTTATCCCTATTACTTGTCCCATCATTGCTCTTGAGTTCTTAAGAAAACATGATGCTGATTTTGCATCAAGACCAATATCCATGGCCACTGATATCATCAGCAATGGTTTCTTGACAACAGCTGTTACACCCTTTGGAGAGCAATGGAAGAAAATGAAGAAAATATTCGTCAACGAACTATTCTCCCCCCACAAACATCAATGGCTCACAAACAAAAGGAATGAAGAAGCTGATAACATGATGTTCTATGTCTACAACAAATGCAAAAATGTGAATGATAGTGGTCTTGTGAATGTTAGGATCATCACGCGACATTATTGTTGTAATTTGATGAGGAAAATAGTTTTTAATACAAGGAATTTCGGAGAAGGTAAGAATGATGGAGGTCCTGGTTTGGAGGAAGTTGAACATGTAGATGCTATTTTCACACTGCTTAGGTATGTTTTTGCTTTTTGTGTTTCTGATTATATGCCATCGTTGAGAGGACTTGACATTGATGGACATGAGAGAAAGGTGAAGGATGCTATGAGTATTGTGAAAAAGTATAATGATCCAATCATTGAAAGGAGAATTGAAAAATGGAAAGATGGATCAATGGCTAGTGCTGATGCAGAAGACATACTTGATATTCTAATCTCTCTCAAAGATGCCAACAACGAACCATTATTGACAACCAAAGAAATCAAGGCTCAAGCTCTAGTAATATATTGTTTTCACTTCTTTTTTTGTTTTGTTTATGTAACTTGCATTATCACTTCAAAAAATTGATGACCAAACTCGAATTTGTAGGAACTCGTGCTGGGAGGAGTGGACAATCCATCGTATTCAGCCGAAATTGCAATAACAGAAATGATAAATCAGCCCGAGTTACTTCAACGAGCGACTGAAGAATTGGACAATATTGTAGGAAAGCAAAGACTAGTCCAAGAATCGGACATTCCAAATCTCAACTACTTGAAAGCTTGTGTGAAAGAAGCTATTCGTCTTCATCCCGTCACAATTTTTAATCTTCCCCATGTCTCAATAGAGAACATAGTGGTTGGTAATTACATGATCCCGAAAGGTAGCCATGTGATTCTAAGCAAACAAGGACTCGGGCGAAACCCAAAAGTTTGGAATGAACCTTACAAATTTAAACCAGAACGCCATCTGAAAAATGATGGATCTATGGTAGTTTTGGCGGAACCAGATTTGAAGTTGATATCGTTTAGTACCGGAAGACGTGCTTGTCCTGGAATTGTGATCGGAACCACAATGACTGTGATGTTATTGGGTAGATTGCTCCATGGCTTCAACTGGAGTGAAGCTCCTAATGTATCAACCATAGATCTTCTCAAATATTCCAATGGTGATAGATACATTGGAGGGCCACTTGTAGCAATAGCAAAGCCAAGATTGGCAGCAGAATTGTATCAACCATAAGCTATTTTAAATTTAATAAGGCATGCAGATAATCTTTTATTTAATGGGAAATGAATCACTAAAAATTGTTATATAATATTTATTATGTATTGTCAAAAAGGCTCAAATGTTCCATGGGTGTTAACGTGTATTTAATAAAAATGTTTTGTGTTCTTAGCACTTGTTACATCAGTGAATCACCAGAGTTGACCATAAAAATTGTAGTTATCAACTTATAGTTCCATGAAAAAGAGAATTTGCTTACAGAACGTCATCAAAGTTATGTGATGGATTAGTTATAGTACTCGCAATGTTATCTAAACACTACTTGGCTTCAACGTTTTTATAGTAACATCTAAATATAAAAAAATCCTGATCAAACAAAAGACACAACTGCAAAGAGATCTTTGAAATCGTTTGGGATTGTACCGAAATGGATTCACTAACCTTTGCGCGGCGAACGACAGACTGCAATTTTACTCATTTTTGTCCATTAGATAAATCAAACTATGTTAATAATGTCACCTTTTAACTTTATAATTTGTAAATTAAAACACCTCTGGTGCACTACTAGACAGTACACACAAACTATTGAAGTGTAATTTTGTATTTTAGTTTGTTTTGTTAACTTAGTCGTTAAGTTAACCTTTTGTTAGACTCTACGTGACCATTTACTTTATGTATAAATAAATTAGTAGTAGTTGTCATATATAATCAATCTTTCTTTACACTTTTATAGCCGCCACTTTGTTGAGCAATAAAATATATTCTCTCATTAATTTTTTTCTTTATCACCTTGTGCACTAATAATTGGTATCTAGAGTTCTGGTTCAGATCCACAGGAAAACACAAAAAATACGAGTGAAACGTTGAGGCGTTGTGTGATTGATTTTGTTTCTTGAATTCGTGTTGAACCTTGAACGAAATCGTAACAGAATCACATTTTCTGATTCTAAGGGATTGGGAAACACTGTTTGGTGAGATCTGAGTGACTTGCACAAGGTTGAAGATGTACGGAAACGGTAGTCTGAGCACAAAACTTTCAGTGTTTGATGGAAAGAACTGAAATCACTGGATGATTCATATGTGCGTGTTGTTCGGTGCTCAAGATGTTCTTGAGCTTGTTACCGAAGGTTACGTTCTGGTTGCAGCGGATGCGATGGGAGAATAGAGAAACGTGCAGAGAGACAAAAGGAAGAAAGATCAGAAGGCGTTGTTCAACATTTCTTTTTAAAATCACTAATTTGTCTGTTGAATGTGCGAGGTACTCTGAGAAAAGTTTTCCATTTTGACTTAATGCTGCAGTGTTCCACTTTATTTGTGGAACATAATTGGTTGTGATTGCACTACTTGTGTGCTTTGTATATTTGTTATACTCTTGCAGGATATATATATATATATATATATATATATATATATATGTGTGTGTGTGTGTGTGTGTGTGTGTGTGTGTGTGTGTGTGTGTGTGTGTGTGTGTGTGTGTGTGTGTGTGTGTGTGTGTGTGTGTGTGTGTGTGTGTGTGTGTGTGTGTGTGTGTGTGTGTGTGTGTGTGTGTGTGTGTGTGTGTGTGTGTGTGTGTGTGTGTGTGTGTGTGTGTGTGTGTGTGTGTGTGTGTGTGTGTGTGTGTGTGTGTGTGTGTGTGTGTGTGTGTGTGTGTGTGTGTGTGTGTGTGTGTGTGTGTGTGTGTGTGTGTGTGTGTGTGTGTGTGTGTGTGTGTGTGTGTGTGTGTGTGTGTGTGTGTGTGTGTGTGTGTGTGTGTGTGTGTGTGTGTGTGTGTGTGTGTGTGTGTGTGTGTGTGTGTGTGTGTGTGTGTGTGTGTGTGTGTGTGTGTGTGTGTGTGTGTGTGTGTGTGTGTGTGTGTGTGTGTGTGTGTGTGTGTGTGTGTGTGTGTGTGTGTGTGTGTGTGTGTGTGTGTGTGTGTGTGTGTGTGTGTGTGTGTGTGTGTGTGTGTGTGTGTGTGGTGTGTGTGTGTGTGTGTGTGTGTGTGTGTGTGTGTGTGTGTGTGTGTGTGTGTGTGTGTGTGTGTGTGTGTGTGTGTGTGTGTGTGTGTGTGTGTGTGTGTGTGTGTGTGTGTGTGTGTGTGTGTGTGTGTGTGTGTGTGTGTGTGTGTGTGTGTGTGTGTGTGTGTGTGTGTGTGTGTGTGTGTGTGTGTGTGTGTGTGTGTGTGTGTGTGTGTGTGTGTGTGTGTGTGTGTGTGTGTGTGTGTGTGTGTGTGTGTGTGTGTGTGTGTGTGTGTGTGTGTGTGTGTGTGTGTGTGTGTGTGTGTGTGTGTGTGTGTGTGTGTGTGTGTGTGTGTGTGTGTGTGTGTGTGTGTGTGTGTGTGTGTGTGTGTGTGTGTGTGTGTGTGTGTGTGTGTGTGTGTGTGTGTGTGAGATTGTGACTGCTATGTATCACTTGGGGATATGTTCATATTTGAAGTCTTAGTTCTTATATTTGATGGTGTGATTTCTGACTTGATTTATTTGCTGATGCTAGCTTGCTTGAAGTTCTCTGAGTTTCTTTTTTTTTTTGCTCGGTTGCTACGGATAGTTATCCGTTTGGTATTGTACTATTTCCTTTTTACTGTTTCCGCTCTTTATTGCTTTCTATTGCGTGATTGGACCTCCGTTAAAGACCTGTTTAAGGCAATTCTGTCAGTGTGCTAATTGTGATTGTTTAAAATCCTACCTTGGAAGTAGGTATTATGCGCGTGTGTTTATATTTGTGCCCGTATTATATTACAGGTGATAAGTCCTCAAAAGGAGGCGAGCGAAAAGGGTTCATAATTGACCCCCGCACATTCCAGTACATGTCTTTCCTATGCTCACTTTCTACAAGTAGATGCTCTGAACATGTTCTCAAGTTCCGAATGAATTTAAGTCCTTTAAGGGCGAGTGAAAAAGGTTCGTGAAAAAGGTTCCCGCAATCGGATCCCCACGCTTTATTTAGCTCTTGTTGACCAACACTGATGCTTAATTTATGCATGCACTATGTCTCTCCCCCCCAGATCTTTATCTCCCTGGTAATTGATACCACAGTTAAGGACCCTTTTGTATTCCTATAATTATATATCTTGATTGACTCGGGTGATACGCTCCTCTTGGCTATGGCTTGACCCTTGGTCTGATGCTTGGTTGCTTGCTTATGGATGAACCTCCCTTTCTACTACTAGGCCTGCGCCTTGTAGGTGTCTAATATTCGAGTGATGCTCGAGATTTGGTTTTGTCTAGATGTTTTGCCATATGTTTGCTTGTTTTTGTCACAAGATATGTGACATTTTTACCATGCACCCTTAGGATTGCTCGATTAGGTTAGATTTTGAGCTAGACATTAGGATAGATATCCATGCATGTCAACATAGGTTAGAGACTTCCCCTTTTCATCCTCGACCTTAGGGTCAATCATTGTATGATAATATTAGGGCTAGAGATTAGAGTAGTCTCTCTTAATTGTTTTCTTTTCTTTGCATATTGTATCTTAAAACTAAAACTTCTTCTTGGCAATTCATAAAATGTCTCTAATGAACTTAAATCGTTCTTCAAGGTAAAAAATACAAATCAATCTTATTTATTTGTGTGCCTTTTGGATTTGTTTTAAACCTTGTCAAATTGATGTTTTTCCATCCTTGCCATGATACCTTGTTATCTTTTCGCAGATGTTTCTCCATCGCAGATGTTTGTTATCCTACTTTGATTCTCAATATCATTGTTAGGTGTGATGTTTTATCATATGAGTTATTGATGTTTCTCCATCTTTGCCATGTTATCTTTCTATCTTTTAGACGATGTTTCGCCATCGCATATGTTTGTTGCCGATGTTTCTCCATCGCACATGATTGTTATCCTACTTTGATTCTTAATATCATTGATAAGTGTGATGTTTTATCATCTGGGTTGTTGATGTCTCGTCATCTTTTCTATGCTATCTTGCTATCCTTTCGCCAATGTTTCGCCATCGCATATGTTTGTTGTCAATGTTTCGTCGTCGCGTATGTTTGTCATCCTACTTTTATTTTCAATATCATTTTTAGGTGTAATGTTTTATCGCTTTGTCTGATATTTTGTTATCATGTTGACGTTTTATCATCTTGTCTGAGTTTGTGTTGCCATGTGATGTCTTGTCATCCTTTTTCGTTGCTTTATCATCATTGTTGATGTTTTATCGTTCCATCTGATGTTTTGCCATCTTGATTGTTGCTTTTGTCTTCTTAACTAAAAAACACAAACCAACCAAAATATATGTGCCGAACTACGGCTGCTCTGATTCCTTTAAAGGGATACGTAGGTGGAGGCTTTTGTGGGGCCTAATCGAGCATATCTTTGTAAATATTCCTTTTTCCCCACACTTTCTTTTCCTTTTTCTTTTCATGCATTCCCTTTTCAGCTTTAAGCCTTAGACACAGATTTTTTTCACACCCTTAGACTATAACAAACAAGAGTGGATACCGTATACTACGGGCGTACGGGGTCCTAATACCTTCCCCTCGCGTAACAGACTCCCTTACCCGATCTCTTGGTCACAAGACCATGATTTAATCCTTCTCGGGTTTTCTCGATGTCTACCTTTCCCTTTCGGCGGGATAAAAGACGTCTCGTGGCGACTTCATTGATTTTTATATCAGATGACAGTTCAGCCGGTTGTTTCAGTAGGTCGCTCACAGGTCTTACCCTCATGACCTCCTTTCTCTCGAGTCATAGATCATACGTCAATCTTTACCCATCGTCCTTACTTTTCTTTTGGGTCGTGAATCCCACACGATAGATTCTCTATTGTCGTCAAGTACTACCCATCGTTTTTAAGTCATCATGTTGTTATTAATCTTATTTTCAGTCACCACGACATCGTTAACCATATCTTCTCAGTCACTTTAACACCCACTTCCCCGAGAACCTTGCATTGGCACCGTTACCCCAAAAAAAGTTATCATTATTCAACCATGTTTATCCATCATGACCCGTTCACCATAAAACCAATTTTTCTCATCCCCAACAGACGTCACAAATAAATAACACTCACACCATCTCTCCAAGACAAATTCCAGG